AGGTACCACACACCTTCTTTGCCCGTTCCTCTGTCAGTGGACACTTAGGTGGCCCCCGTGTCCTGGCTATTGTAAGGAGTGCTGCGGCGAGCACTGGGGTGCACATATCTTCTCAAATTATGGCTTTCTCTGCGTGGGGACTTGCTGCTTGAAGCTGCTGCCAAATCAGTCCTCCTTTCCCTGGACTCCTCGTGGAGGCCCAGGTGCAAATCATTGATCTTGACACCTGCACTTGCCCCTTCGCAGGTTCACTGGTGAGGGGACTGAGGCCCAGCGAGGGGCCGTGCCCTGCGGGCAGACGCTGGCTCCCGTCTGCTGGCCCATGCTCGCCTTGCTGCTGTGGCCACATGAGCCTGTAAAAAGGCTTTCTAGTCTTCAATGAAGTCAATAAGTAGGCTGCATTGTCCCAAGACCCTGAGACCAGAAGCATTTGTAAAAGGAGGTTGTTCCCTTGGGAACCCCACATTTCTGTGCAGCTTTGCCAGTGGGTTAACCACAGGCTAGGGCTCTGTTTCCACCTCCAGTGTGTCCTCCTGTTGTATACCTCCAGCCCTTCAGCAAAAGTCTAGTTTCTGCTCGTCTAGTGCACTCCCGAGAACACAAGCTAGCCACCCCTAAGCTGACCAAAACAGGGTAGACATCCCTGAAGAGTCAAAAGGTAGCTCTAGTGGGAGCTTCGGCCAATGATCCAGCAAAGACCACATTTTCCAACCTGGAAATGGGTTGGCAAACCTGAAAGTCTTGGTTGGACAGAGTCTATGAAATCAAGACTGAGGAACTCAGGCTGTGTGCAGATGTAACTGGCTCCAGGCTGCGGGTCACTAGCCTCTCCCATACCCACCCCCCATACCCTCTAGGGTGAGGAGGTCAATGCCCAGCTCCCTCTCTTCGCCTCCTCCTCACCGCCTCTTTAAATCTATCCCAAGGTCCAGCGAACGTTGATCTGTGTCCTGCCCTTGGCGAGTGCAAAGGCTGCCCATGGGGCTTTGTGTGTGGTGTGCGCACGCTCAGTCCCTCAGTCGAGTCTGACTCTTTGCAACCCCATGGACTGTAGACCTCCAGGCTCCTCTGTCCATGGAATTTTCCAGGCAAGAATATTGGAGTGCTTTGCCATTTCCTGCTCCAGGGGATCTTCCCCATCCAGGGATCAAACCCTCTTCTGTCTCCTGCATTGGCAGGCAGATTCTTTACCACTTTGACACCTGGGAAGCCCCCACTTCAAGAGTGCTTAAAGTGCATTTCCATCCATTGTTGCCCATGAGTCTTGGGTGGGGGATGGGAGAACATTGGCCAGCCATCTCTTACTCCATCCTTACTCTGAAGGTCTTTTAACCCCAGAGGGAAGGTCCTAGTTTCACTGAGGCTGTTGTGGACTAGTAATGATGAAGCTGATGGGACGTCCATTGACTCATTCAATCCTCACGCTGTGATGCAGACCCACGGGGCAACAGGTGTAGCCCTTGCGCAGATCTTCCCTTGGAACAAACACTCAAAAAGCAGTCAGTAGAGCTCAAATGAATAGTTCTCTTCCCTTCTCCCTCTGCTTACCCATTTTATTGGATTGGTTTATTGGATTTTCACCTTCTTGGTTTTCATCTTGGCCAAGAAGCCAAAGGCTGGCTGAGTTTACATCAGCTTTGAATTGGGTTCTTGCTCTTTGGGAGATGCCGAGAGGTCAGAACTCATCCACATCCTGTAATGTTAGTCACATGAACTATTAACCCAGAGGTGAAAGGTTGGACTTGTATTGCCCTCCCGGGGAGCCATCCGCCACCTCTAACATTTGGAGGAGAACACTTGAATTCTGTGCAACTGGACCTTTCCCTCCGGGCAGCTTGGAAACCTACTCGGTATAGGGTGCAGGTGGTGGTGGTGTGCTGGTAAACCGCCTCTCCCTTCCGCAAAGAAAATTCCTGATGTATAGCGTTTGCCAATGTTTGTGGTGTAAACACCCTCACCCTGGTCAGTTTCAAGCTACCGCTAGCAACGTTTCTGAATATTTAACAGTCGCCCTCGTGAGCCGCCACCAGCCAGCCTCCTGCCTGGAGAACCCTTCTAGGATATTCACTAAGTGCAGACAGACAGCATGCTCTCCCTCCAGGGTAAGAGATGACAGTTCTCTTCCCATGTGTCCTAGACACAAACCAGTTTGCAATGGGGTGCAATTAAAACTTGATTAAGGTCCAGTAGGGTTGCCAGACTTAGCAAGTAAAAATACAGGATTCCTAACTAATTTAGAATTTCAGATAAATAACTGTTTTGTATAAGTGTATCCCAAATATTGGAGAAGTCAATGGCACCCCACTCCAGTACTCTTGCCTGGAAAATCCCATGGACGGAGGCGCCTGGTAGGCTGCGGGCCATGGGATCGCTAGGAGTCGGACACGACTGAGCGACTTCACTTTCCCTTTTCATTTTCATGCATTGGAGAAGGAAATGGCAACCCACTCCAGTGTTCTTGTCTGGAGAACCCCAGGGACGGAGGAGCCTGGTGGGCTGCCGTCTATGGGGTCGCACAGAGTCGGACACGACTGGAGCGACTTAGCAGCAGCAACAGCAGCATCCCAAATATTGATTGGGCCCTAGTTATACTAAAATGGTGTTTTGCCGTTTATCTGAAATTCAGGTTTGACTGGGCAGGGTGGGATGGAGCAGCCTTGCAGGCTTGTGCTTTCGCGGCCAACCCTAGCTCCTCAGACACACAGAGGGGGGCAGAAAATTCTCGTGGGCTGATGCTGGTATCTGGAGTGTGGGCAGGAGACTGGGGGCTGGAGATGTACAAGACTCTTTCTTCTTTAACCTAGAAAAGTCACAGTTACATATCCTGCTTCAGCTTTCCCTCCCTGGAGGGACTCCGGAAGCTACAAGGTACCCAAAGGCATTTAGTGCAGCATCTTCAGTTTACATGTGAGGAAACTGAGGTCTAGAGAGTTCAAGATCACTCAGCTAGTAGCAGCACCGATGCTAGAATTCCTGATTCCAAACTCAGTGGGACAGTTTTTCCTTCTATCCTGCACATTTTATCCTACACTCATCTGAGAATTAGTTTGTCTTAATGGTCAAGAGCAGACTCTCCTGGATTCAGATTTGGGCTCTGACCATTATTAGTTTTGTGACCTTGGACCTCATCCCTTTGGGTTCTGTCTTCTCATCTTTAACGTGGGGATTAAATGTATGAGTGAGTCTAGAACAGTGCCCGGCATGCAGTGACCATCAGTAAACACGTCCATCCTGCAAACAGCCCCCTAGAAAAAGCCTCTCTCTTGTTCCTCTTCCTGTAGCCCCTCACATCACACCCACAGGCCAGGGTTCTTGTTGGGCTACATCTCCCCATAGCCTGCCTCACCCCCCACCTGGTAGTCAGCCCCCAGTCTGTCCACTAGGGATCATCATCACCTGCAAGGTAGGAGTCAGCCTCCATGCCCCCACCTCGACAGAGCAAGACTCAAAGGCTTCACTGCATTTAAAACTTAGCACAGGAGAGCATGCTGTGTGTGCGTTGTTTTTGTTTTTTTGCTGTTGTTCTTTTTGCCCACTCTGCATCTTTGTTGCAGCGCAGGCTTCTCTCACTGTAGTGTACAGGCTTCTGCAGCGGAGTGCTGGCTCAGGAGTTGTGGTGGGAGGACCTAGTTGCTCCAAGGCACGTGGAATCTTAGTTCCCCAACCAGGGATTGAACCCACATCCCCTGCACTGGAATGTGGATTCTTAACCACTGGACCACCTGCGAAGTCCCAGAAGAATCTGTTAACAGCCCCAGTGACCACATCCTTATATTAAACCATTACCACACGTGGCTGGATTCAGACTGGGGAGCCCAGGGAGGGACCCCACGGAGCCTTGAGCTCTCTTTCTGCTCTGGGAAAGGTAGTAGGGATGGGCGGGGACAAGAGGAGCCCGGGTGGCAGACCTTGGAAGTAGCGAGGAGAGTCAGACTGCTCAGGTTTAAATTTATGCTTCCCCATCTATTAGCTGTGGCCCTAATATCTCTGGGCCCCAATATCTCTGGGCCCCACTTTCATTACAATGGATCCGATAATATTTCTACTGCAAAAGGCTGGTGTACACCATCACATAACACTAAATTCAGGTGCTGCCACTGACAGCAGTGGGACCCTGGGGCAAGTTCATCTCCGTGGGCTTCAGTGTCTCCATCTGTCAAATGGGGGCATCCCTGTCTCATTGGAGGATTAAATGGGACACTCTTTGAAAAGATCTTGGCACCAGGGGGGCACCCGGTAAACCCTCCAGACGGAGGAGCACCCTTGTCATTTCATGTCGCTTGCTTGGTCAATTTCTGTCAACATTTACTTCCCCCTGGTAACCAGCGCGGGAAATGGGATGCAAACCCAACTAACTGCAGCAGCAGAAATGAGCTTAGAAATCAAGCTTTTGTTTGTTTCCATCTAACACACCCTCATCACTGAGCACTTGAGCCCCACGAGCCCACCTCTTTTTGTCTCAGAGTTAGAGATGGTCTTGTTTGGGATGAAGGTGGTTTTTGTTTCACTTTGCTTTATAAACAGAAACACTCCCTGGTTTCTCCTCTGAAAGGCTGGGAAGGAAGCTGAGTCAGGTGGGGTGTGGTGAACGTGAAATCGGTCACCCTTCCCTCGCCCCGGATTTGGTGGACCCAAGTCAGCCCACGCTGACCTGCACAGCCGCTGATGCACATGGGATCCGTTTTTCTGCTCGTGCATCTATTGGCATGAAGAAACCGCAGCATCCTTCTAGGATGCAGTACAGAATAGTGGAAGGAACAAGGGCTGTGGTGGAGAGGTGATCCCAGACCTGAGCTGGAATCCCAGCCCTAGCACTTGTGAACTGCAATGGTGACTGGGTAGGTCAGGAATTGGTGGAGCTGGGCTGTTGTCTGGGAGGTGGCATCTCTGCCTGTCCCGGAAGATTCCAGTGAAGCTTAGGGTTAATGGATGTAACACTGGCAGAAAAGCACCGTGGGATGGAAAGTCTTGTGATGACACCATGCTTTCTTACCTTTCAGGATGATATCCCAGGCCCGGGGTTCTACAACGTCATTCACCAGTCCCCTGTGTTCGACAGCGTGTCATTGTCCAAGAAAGGGACATGCACTTTCCCTTCTATGGTGAGAATCCCTTCTCTGAATAAAGGTACTAACCGCTCAGTACTTTGCTTCCTTCATGGCTTAATCGCATATTGGACATCCAGGCCCTTCTCTCCAAACACCTGTGGTTCTGATTAGGAGAGCAATGGTCTGCCCAGGTTTCATGCAGGTAAACTGGAGCTAGATCTTTAAGTAATTTTGTCCACCACTTCTACCCACTCCCAGAGTGGAAAGAGAAGCTAGAAGCATATTCAGAACCTGATCATCCAAAACCAATCTTGTCAGCATGGAATGGACTCCCAAACCAAGACAAAATTCTTATTATACATCTTGCCCCAATAGGACTCTTTTTACACTTCTTAGTCTAACTGGGTTATTCAAGTTATTGAGAAATCTGATGGGACTGCAAAGAAAGCAGACAGCAGGCAGAGAATTTAGGAATATTCCTCTCCTCTCCATTTCTCTTCTCTGTAAGATGTGGGTCTTTATCTTTGTGGATGACTCCAAACCTCAAGTAGCTAAATGAAGTGCCAGTGTTTCTGACCAGACCTGGGCAAAGATAGTCTTTATTTGAACATCTATCTGTTGACAAAATAAAATAGATACAACAAGGGGAGTCAAAGTAGAGTAAGACTCCCTGAGGTAGGAAAGTGAAAAAGAAAGCAAATCCAAACTCCAGCATCAATAAGCTGCCTACGCCATCCGTCCCTTTAAAAGTTAGAATAATCTCCTGCAAAAATGTATTATGATACCTGACACTGGAATTGATTTAAAACACACACACACATACACAAAGAGACCATTTAAGTCACACTGAATGCAGCCACTCATTGGAATTCGAGCTTGACCGAGCTGAATACTCAAGGAGCAAACCGATTTGGGAGTTAACTCCTCACTAGCTAAGGTGTTCAGGCTGTACAAGCCCCCGCCAGTTCACAAAACAGCCACATGTCTACCTCCTCGCCCCCAGCCCTGTGAGTAAAGAGACTACAAAGCAATGGGCCAAAGAAATGCCGTCTCACAATGGCCTGGCGCTAGAGACAAGACTTAAGACCCGATCCTGACTCAGCTGTGGGTTCAACCTCGATGTGACCTCAGGCACGTCACCCTCTGTGCCCCAGTTGTCTCACAGAGTGAAGTCTCCCCAGAGGCACTGGGCAAATTGACGTTGCAGTGAGTGAAATAGTCTTTGAAACTGCGGAGCCTTATAAACACGTTCAATGTTATGATTGTTGCCATCTGAGTCACAAACAATACTTCCTGCAACACCTAGGTTTTCTCTCTGAGAGTTTTGCCAAATAGTGGCACTGCCCACTCCTCCCTGGTGCCAGAGCAGGTGCTGAATCAGAGCACGCCATCAATTCCCTGCTAGGCTGTACGTGCGGTAACTTTCCAAATGACCAGGCTGGGCCGTCTGGAGGAGAAGGGGCCCAAGGGCAGATCTGTGTGTGACAGGATCTAATCAGGTCTTTACAAAATTCAGACCAAACCCCAAAGAAGACAGACGCTGAGTAGTTCAGGCTTCTTCCTGCTGTGATGGATATAAGGGTTTATATTTATGTTTCTAAACACAGGAGTTCGTATATCCTCGGGCGGGGGCCTTAAGTGGAGATCTATCAGGAGCTTCCCACATTTCGCCTAGTGCCTTCCAGAACTGGTCACCAATTTCATTCCTCCACCCCTTCTTTTTCTGCCCTTCACATTTAGCGGCTCTTGTTTCCAGATCCTAGACCCTACAGGGGTTAAAAAGTAGTCCCCATCAGAGAGGGCTTCCCTGGTAGCTCAGCAGTAAAGAATCCACCTGCAATGCAAGAGATGCAGGTTTGATCCCTGGATCGGGAAGATCCCCTGGAGGAGGAAATGGCAACCCACTCTAGTATTCTTGCCTGGGAAATCCCATGGACAGAGGAGTCTGGCGGACTACAGTCCATGCGGTCACAAAAGGGTCGGACACGACTTAGTGACTAAAAACAACAACCCCCACATTAGAGAAAGATCTGCCTTACTGATGCTGGTGTGGCCATCAGAAGCGTGACTCCCAGTGGCGCCGACCAAAAGATGCTGTGGGTCAATACATTTTAGAAACTTCTGGATGACTGTTGGAGCAACTGCACCCCGCCTTTTGAGAGGACCTGTCGTCCCTCTAAATTCAAATCATCTGAAGAGCTTCATGACTATACTCCACAGCTTTGTTCCAGAATTATTCACAGGACTGGGTAGGAAGTCGAATGAGGCAGGTGTGAGCGTCGGAGTGGGGGAGAGGGGCGGGTATTTCCATGGCTCTTCTGTATATGTGCGGCGGCTTCACTGGCTCCGGAAGAGCTGTTATGTGCTGGAGAGAGGTTCATGATTGCCAGCATGTGGCCAGGTTGGGGATCGGAGGCCTGGCAATTAAAAGAAAGCCAAGGCTTAGGCTGATGAGTGAGTGTCATTTCAGCTAGACTCAGACTAATTCTATCGTGATGATTGATGAAACTTTGCCTCGGATTGGAATTTTTTGGAGCAGTTTTTCCTAAAGAGAATGTTAGTAGGTATTCTAAGCCAAAAAGATCCTATGATGAAAGAAGTTTGGGAATGACTGTTTCAAAACAGTTAGACAGATTTCTTTACTGCAGGCCTTCTCAGTGCATGCACTACCCCAATGTGTGTTATGAATCTTCAAAATGGTGTGAGGCTTCTCAAATTTATTTGACCCTGGAAATGTCTCCCTGCTGCTGCCACCACCAATGAAACCTTATCTCATAGAACTGGAAGGCCAAGGAACACACTTTGGAAAATAGTGCTTGGTTTATTTTTTTTCCGGGGTCCTACAACATATAATATTTTAAAAGTTAGATAAATCTTACATTTAATATTTCACAATTAAAATGGATTTCTAAATTTCCCCAGTAGTAAACCACTTACCAAAAAAAAAAAAAAAACCCGAAACAAACTTATCTTCAATTGTGAGGGTGATAAATATATTTGAAAAGATAATTTACCACAAGAATCTGTTTTGTCCCCATCAAAAAAATGTACCTGAACTTTAAACAAAACTCACATTTTATTTAAGTTGAAATAAACTATACAAAATTTGACTTTCTTAACCAAAAACAGCAGCAATATTTTCTATATTATTCCTAGATAAGCTGCAAAACACTTATTTTTGTGGGTTTGCTAGATTTTGCTTGTAAATCAAGATGAGGCAATAGATACAGTCATGGAAAAAGACAAAAGGAAACAGACAAATCAGTTGTCATTATCTATGGGCTCTGATCCCCTCCTGACCATGAAACTGAAGCGTTCAATATATAAGCTGCCAAAAAGCTTATGAAGATGTAGGAATGTAAACACAACAACCAAATGGGGAACAACAGTGGCAGGCTCTTCCATTCAAACTTTAACTACAGTTTATTGCTTTAACTTCAGGGAAATAGCACTTTAGCAAAACATGCTTTGCCCACTCTTTTGGGCGACCTCGGAGAGACACACAACAAGCAGCAGCACTGAGGATGGTCTGACCTTGCCACCCTTCTTCCCTGGGAGTTAGAAGGAGAGCAGAGGTGTGTCTGTAACGAGGAGCACAGGTGGCTTCAGAGAGTGATTCTTCCTGAGCTAAAACCTCCCACGGGCATTCATCAGCAGCTCATCTTGTGGATGAGAACATGTGGCTGTGACTCGTCTCAGCCCATTCTTCCTCAGAATGGGTGTCTGATCCATATCATCTCGTGGCAGTGAGAATGTTGGTTCCACCACTTTGCTGGCTGAGGAAGTTTGGGGTCCTCATCTGTAACGCGGGGATAATCATAATTTCCTTGATCCAGGCTTGTCCTACCGATTCAATGGAACATCCCCTGCAAAGTACTCAGTTAACTATTGCCCCAAGTGCACAGGTAAAGTGAGTCCAAGGCTGGGGTGTTCTGGGAACATCGATGGTTCCTTGCAGTTAGGAGGAGGCAGAGCTGGGACCCGAGCCCAGGCTAGACTCTGGATAGAACGCCCCTGCTTCTGGTGGCAAGTGGTGGTCCATGACCCAGATGGTGGGAAGCACGGCCGTCACGTACAGAGAGGAGTCAGGTGGGCTGCTCATGCCTTCCCGCGGCCTCCTCCGCTTTCTGTGCTGGTGTGGTTATTGACCCCTGTCAAGGGGGAAAACCCAGGGCAATTTTCATGAGCTTTTAACCGTAAAATAATGGGAGAAAAAAAAAATTTTTTTTTTTTAATCAGACTTCAATACTTGCCATACTATCCCAGGGTAAGGTGATGTTATCACCTAGTTTTTATGGCTTTTGTCCCTTTTCATTTGGCAAACATTGATTCTATTTGTTTTTTTAACTGAAAATAGTTATTCATGGCTTCCTGGAAGGAATAGGATTGGTTTCTGTTGAAACAGCAAAAAAAAAAAAAAAAAAGAAAATTGCAAGGTTTTATGAAATCAGTGAGTTGGTGGGGGATGGGAGGTGTGGGTGGGAGGCAAACCCTGGGACCTTTAAGGCGTGAGAAGCAAACTTCTTATTTAGGAAATTCAGATTATTTGACCTTAGAGACAAGAAGTGAGAGTTTCACTCAAAGGAAAAACCAAGGTTGGAAGAAGAAAGCAGAAAGCTTCCCATCATATAAATCACCCACCAGCTGATGAGTCAAGTGTAAGTGGCCTGAAACGGGATTGGGTGGAAGTGCTTTTATGGCAAAATTACTTTTGCCAAGTCCCAAACACAAGATGAATAATTCGAGTTAGTTTACAGAAGTTAACACAGGTCTGAACTTGCATTTTCCAAGAACAAATCTTCAAAGCCCAAGGTCATTTTATCTGTGTTACCTGCCAGGGTTTCACCTTTTATGAAATGCTTTTAGACCTGGTGCTGAGCAGCATCTTTTTTATACCTGTCCTTGGAATCAACAAGATACATGATGATGTGGATTCCTTTGACTTTCTCCTTGCAGTGTGCCCGACTGGACACCATCGTTTCTAAATACCCGGCAGCTAATGCGTACACTATCCCATCTCATCTTGTTTCAAAGAAAGACTTCAGCAATTCTTGTTCCAGCATGTTCCAGTTGCCAAGCTATGAGAAAGTACTCAAATTTGAAACCCCTGCACCAAACCAGTACAATGTAAGAACACTTTCTATGCTTCTTATGTATTGAGTGAATGGTTTACTAAAAATAAAAGAAGGGACGTGGGGAGCTTTGGAAAATAGCATTTAAACCAATTGGTAAATTAGTTAGCATTTGTTGACTACACAGTGGCTACATGAGGCTGTGCAAGGCTCTCATAGGGAATTTTCTGAACCCAGAGAAAGGTGTGGGCAACACGGAGGTCAGCGTGGAGCAGTGGGAAAACCTCTGCCCTGGAAAACTCTTATTGCAGTCGCCCCATCACAGACGTGAAATTAGAAGATGCTTGTTCCTTGGAACGTAACATAATATGATAAACTTAGACAGTGTATTAAAAAGCAGAGACTTCACTTTATCAACAAAGGTCCGTATAGTCAAAGCTGTGGTTTTTCCAGTAGTCATGTGTAGATGTGAGAGCTGGACCATAGGAAGGCTGAGCACCAAAGAATTGATGCTTTCCAATTGTGGTGCTGGAAAAGACTCTTGAGAGTCCCTTGAACAGCAAGGAGATCAAACCAGTCAATCCTAAAGGAAATCAACCCTGAATATTCGTTGGATGGACTGTTGCTGAAGCTGAAGCTCCAGCTTTGGCCACCTGATGCAAAGAGCCGACTCATTAGAAAAGACTCTGATGCTGGGAAAGATTGAAGGCAAAAGGAGAAGGGGGTTTCAGAACATAAGATGATTAGACAGCATCACTGACTCAGTGGACATGAATCTGAGCAAACTCCAAGAGATAGTGAGGGACAGGGAAGCCTGGCGTGCTGCAGTCCATGGGGTCAGACACAACTTAGCAACCAAACCACCACCACCACCACCTATCACATAACTTTCTGGGATGGTTTTCTCATCTATAACAATGATTGTATTATTCACTTACTTTTTAGATTGTTACAGGGAAAATAAACTTCTATCTTTCCATATCAGAAAATTTCTTTCTTTAACAGTAGTACGTCTCCAGGGTTTCCCTGATATCTCAGTTGGTAAAGAATCAGCCTGCAATGCAGGAAACCCCAGTTCCATTCCTAGGTTGGGAAAATCTGCTAGAGAAGGGATAGGCTACTTACTCCAGTATTCTTGGGTTTGTCTTGTGGCTCAGCTGGTAAAGAATCCACCTATAGTGCAGGAGACCTGGGTTCGATCCTTGGGTTGGGAAGATCCCCTGGAGAAGGGAAAGGCTACCCACTCCAGTATTCTGGCCTGAAGAATTCCATGGACTGTACAGTCCATGGGGTCGCAAAGAGTTGGACACGACCGAGTGACTTTCACTTTCAGTGCTTCTCTAGTTCCCGTCACTTTGTAATCACTTAGGCAGAACAGTGTGGTTAATGGGTAAGAGATGGGCTTGTGTTCAAATCTTGACTCTGCCATTTTCTACGTGTGTGTGGCTTTGGGCAAGTCCATTAACCTTTCAGGACTCAGTTTATTGATATGTAAAGTGGGGTTATGGGGCTATGCCCTCCCATGTGGTACTAGTGGTAAAGAAGGAGATGTAAGAGACATGGGTTCTATCCCAGGATCAGGACGATCCCCTGGAGGAGGGCATGGCAACCTGCTCCAGTATTCTTACCTGGAGAATCCCTTGGACAGTGGAGCCTGGTGGGCTACAGTCCATAGAGTCGAAAAGAGTCAGACACAATTGAAGAGACTTAGTTTGCAAGCACACAAAATGGGATTTTATGTCTACTCCATGGTGCTAATGCAAACATTAAACGAGGCTGTCTTGGCCTAGTGCTTACTTAGCACAGCCCCTGGTACATGAGAGTTCCACAATAAATGGAAATCAGTAGAACTGTCTTTGAGGAAGTCAAGATACCTCTCAGGTTTGTAAAATGGAATTAATTATACTTGCCTAATAGGGTTATTATAAGAAGCAGATGAGAGCATAGTGTGAGAGCACTCTGAAATACCTAAGACATGAATTGCACATAAGGCAGTAATACTATTATGCTATAATTTCTGAATATTTTGGCCTTAGAATGCTTCAGTTTAAATTTCCTTTTTCTTTTATAATACTTATAGATAATAGTTATTTTTCCAACTACAAAGATCCTGCCCACCTTCTTCGATGGATCCAATCAATTATAATGTGCTCAAAGCAATGTAAGTGCCTGTTAGACCAGCACTGTCCAGAAGAAATACAACGGGGGTCACAAAAGTAATTTGTTTTCCTAGTTGTTGTGGTTACTCAGCTGCTGAGTCGTGTCTGACTTTTTGCAACTCCATGGGCTGCAGCACGCCAGGCTCCTCTGTCCTCCATCATTTCCCAGAGTTTGCTTAAATTCGCGTCCATGGACTCAGTGATGCTATCTAAACATCTCATCCTCTGCCGCCCTCATTCTCCCTCTGCCTTCAATCTTTCCCAGCATCTGGGTTTTTTCCAGTGAGTCGGCTCTTCACATCAAGTGACCAAAGTTTGGAGTGTCAGCTTCAGCATCAGTCCTTCCAATGAATATTCAGGGTTGATTTCCTTGAAGATTGGTTGGTTTGATCTCCTTGCAGTCCAAGGGACACCCAAGAATCTTCTCCAGCACCACAATCGGAAAGCATCAATTCTTCAGTGCTCAGCCTTGTTTATGGTCCAATTCTCATGTCCGTACATGACTACTGGAAAAACCATAACTTCGGCTATATGGACCTTTGTTGCCAGAGTGATGTCTCTGCTGTTTTCCTAGTAGCTACATTTAAAAGTAAAAAGAAACAGGTGAAATTAGTTTTAATAATATATTCTATTTAACCCAGTATGTTCAAGATATTTCAGTATCTAATAATTAGTAAAAAAAAATTACTAATTAGATGTGTTACATTCTTTTCCTCACATTAAATCTTTAAAATTCAGTGTATATTTTATACTCAAAGCCTGTCTGCTTGTGGATCAGCCATATGTCTGGCACTCAATAGCTATACGTGGCCAGAAGCTGCTGTGTGGGATAGTATAGCTCCAGATACTCTTCTCTTAGGGTAACCAGAGCCTGAAAATAATAATGATGATGAGATGATGAAGTACTTTTCATGGCCTGTGTTCTGTTCTAAGAGCTGTGTATTCACTGATTTCATACTCACAAGAAACTGGAAGTAGATTCTCTTATTCTCAATTGACAGAAGAGGAAGTTGAGGTTGAGAGAGGGGAAGGGACTTGCCCAACGTCACCCAGCTTGAAGAGACCATTTGCACACCAGTGAGAACAGCTGGGTGCTGAGGTTTAAAACTGGGGAGTGATCAGAGTCTCCATGTTCCAGCCGTGCTGGGCTTCCTTTCATAAGTCGTGTGACTGCTCTGTGCCAGTGATGTAATTTAGAATCCAGTGGGGAACTCAAGACGAGAACTAGCAGACCGCAAGCAAAATAATTGCAAACTGCGGCCAGCTTTGAGGAAGACAAACAGTTGGAGCCTGAGGGAGAGAACATGTATGTGGTATGGAGGTAGGCGTATATTTTCGACCGGGTGGTCAAAGAAGGTGAGCGCTCCCTCTCTGTGACCTACGGGGGGAGCTGAAGGGTGCTCTAGTTAGCGCTTCAGACCTTCATGTCCCCAACCCACTGTTCCTGCAGGCTCAGCTCCAGTCCTGGTATACAGTAAGCGTGCAATAAATGCTAATGGCTTAAAGGCATAACTTCCCTTGTTAATCAAGGAATGGTCATCCCCCAAGTCAGAACTCTGTCCTCCTGCCAACAGATCAATTTTAGTTGCAGGGTTTTTGTTCATTATTGTTTTAACGCAGCTCTGAAAGTAAGACATGCTCATCCAAATAAAACACATCCAAGCATCACAGAAACCCGAAAACCAGAAAGTAGAAGTCCCTTATCATTTTGCTTCACAAACCAACCATCAAAAACCAGGGGCAACACGTGTATGTGTATGCCTATGGCTGATTCATACTGATGTATGGTAAAAACCATCACAATATTGCAAAGTAATTATCCTCCAATTAAAATAATTAAATACATTACAAAACAAAACCAAACCAGGGGCAGCTTTGTTCATACTCTCTTCCTCCCTTAGTCCTTCCCTCAGTTTTGGGATTACACTGTCCATCGTGTGCTTGCATGTCTACTTAATATCTGAGTTTTTTTTCTCTCATGGCAATACAATAAATCTGTTTCGTTCTTTTTTAATCTGCCGGTGGAGCTGACTCTTTTCTTAGTCTAATGGTAAAATACACATGACGCACAGTCAGTGTAGGTATACAAAAATGTCCCCCTTTGCTCTTGCTTTTCTGTCTGGGCGAAGAATAAAGCTGAAGCAGTGTTTTGTCTACAGGAGGCTTTTTTCAAACCTGGAGAACAATGGCTGAGTCAACGGGCCAGCAGCAGAAATGCAGTAATCCTGTTAGCCACACTGTGCTTTGAGGCTGTCAAGGCCTCTCTCTGCCTTTGCTTAACTGTGATCCCCCAATTCTCTATTCGAAGCCTTTCCCTCAGTACCTGTTATTACTTCCTCTCCTGCATCCTGGCTTCTCTCCCCGTGTCCAGTAATTAGCCTGGCCCATCTGATCTTTTTGTTTGCCCTCTCTGCAGGCAGTCTGGCCATTTGGTACCCTGGGAAAAACTGAATTCCTCTACCTTTGTCAGCACAAAATCAAAATGCCATCTGTATTTCTTCAGAAACTTTTTTTTTTTTTTTTTTTTACAAAGGAGTATCACAGAAAATCAAGCCATCTTGGCCCCAGCAAACAGTTTCACTCATTCAGTAAATAGTCCCAGCCATGGCAGGTACAACTTTTATTGCATCTTTTATCTAATGAATACAGGAGACTGACTGCCAATTGGCATTTAACATATTTATGACTCATCATAAGAATGATCTCAGGGCTCTTTTTTTTTTTTTCCAAAATTATTTTTAGAGTTCTGAACACCCTGAACACTCTCAACTGTACACTGCCTGAGTCAACCAAAATCCTTATTTTCTGGTCAGTCCAGAAAAGTCAAGACAACACAGTGCTTGTAAATCTTATCACAATCTTAAGTTACACGATTTCTTTGTACATCCTATATCCTGCACGTATAGAAAGATTATTTGAGCAGTGAGGAATGAGGGTGGGGATATGTAGGACTCAGTGTTCAAATAGAATGAAAATCATAGAGGAAAAAGTAATGAAAATAATTTGCCTAGGTAGCTTTACACACTTTTTATTTTTATTCATTTATTATTTTATTTTTTAAACTTTATTTTTCTAATTGTGTATTTAGTTTACCCAACTGGGCTCAAACTAAACATATTGCAGTTTTTCCCAATATCCTATTTTGTGACCATCTTTCCATGTCAATAACTTTTTAGCTACATGAACATTTCAAAGTGCAAAGTGTTGCTTTGGGTGAATCTACTGTGGCTACCTTAACCAATTCCATATCACTACTCATGTTCTAAGTTTCCCTACATGTTTACCTTCTAGGTTTATGATTCTTTTGTCAACTTACAAATGTCCTATTGGGTTTTAAATGCAATTGCATTGAGTTTGCAGATAAATTGGGTGAAAATCTGTACAGCTTTGGGTAATCTGGAAACACAATCTATCTTTTAATTTATTATGTTTTCTTTTATGTCTTTCAGTAAAAATTTTAATGATTTTCTTCATATTCTAGTTATACATAACATTACACATTAAAAAAAAAAGCCCACTTCCTGGCAGGTGATTTATATTGACTGGGCATCCCCCCCATCCCCACCCCAATAGCTCCCTGCCTCGGGTTGAGCAAGAATGATCTGATCCATCTTACAGATGAGGAAAAAACCTCAAATCCAGAGAAATTGAACAGTTTGAGCAGGATGCCCCTCCCCGAGTGAGGGAAGTGATCAGGGAAGCCGGGTCTGCAGGCTGGCACAGGGCACCACCCTCGGTGTTGTGTTGGATCCCCAGACCCTGGCTAGTGATGAAAAGTCATTGCTCCCTGCAGCTGGGGCGAAGGTGAAGGCACTGCCAGTATGACCCTTTCCACTCACATCCGCTCATTTTCTGAGAACAGGTTAAAAAGAAAAAAAAAAAATTTTAGCCCCAAAGTTCCAGTCGTCCTGATGTGACGAGAGGGACAGAGAAAGGCAAAGCCCTGAGTGCGCTGCGCTTGTCTGCCCCGCAGGCCTCCGACTCCTGCTGCAAGCAGGCGAACAACGTCTGTGCCCGAGCTGGGTTCGTGTCCAAAACCCAGAGAGGACTTTTCGCTGTTTCTAAAACAGGACCCGCCCCAGGTAAGCAGCTGCCCTGCGCTGGCCTTGGCCCGAGGCTTCCTGTTCCAGGTCTGATCAGCAGGGCGCCCATTCCTTCACAGGGAGTCTTTCCCTGGTGGCTCAGACGGTAAAGAGTCTGCCTGCGATGGAGGAGACCCGGGTTCGATCCCTGGGTCGGGAAGATCCCCTGGAGAAGGGAGTGGCTACCCGCTCCAGTATTCTGGCCTGGAGAATTCCCTGGACAGAGGAGCCTGGCGGGCTGCAGCCCATGGGGTCGCAAAGAGTCGGACAAGACAGAGGGACTAACACTTTCACATCAGGCTTTGGGGGGCGGGTGTGGGGGTGCAGGCAGGTGTTATAGGAAGAGGAGGGGACTGGCTCCCCACTCAGTGGAAGAACAGCCGGCCCCTGGGGTCTGCCTCCCTTTTAGACCCTGCGCACATGCTTCGGGCCGCAGCTGGGGAGATGTCTACCTGAGCCTGAAGAGCGCCGTGCCCACACCCCAGGTGCCACTGCAGACCCTGGGGGAAGGCAGGGCGACCCCTGGGCACTGGGCTGCTATATTCCTTTCCTCCCAAGCCGGCCAGCAGCTTCATCATTTAACGCCAAATCACTGGGAGATCGCTCTGTGAACAGAGCCCCGCGCTGTGCTTTTTCCCCGCGGTCCTCACACATCTGTCCTCCAAGAGCCATGCTCTTAGTCCTGTGTTTCAGATGAGGCAAAGGAGGTCCAGAGAGGCGAAGCCACTGGCTCAGAGCCACTCAGCAAAGAAATGGCAGGCCTCAGCCCAGAGGAGCCTCTGACCCCCGTCCTCCCAAGGCGGTTTCTGACCCTGGGATTCGAACGCACAGGGCTTGCCGGCAAACGTTTTCCCTGCTGGGTGGGGACGGGCGTTGCCCCCGTCCTGTGCCCTGCACCAGCCTTAGTGAAAAGTTTCCAGAGAGATCTGGGGACATAACAGTCCTCACCCCAGGAACGCGGGTTAGACTAGACCGTCCCAAATGGGTCCCAGAGACCCCGGAGGGAGCTCCGGGCCCCAGAGCCCAGGGGAGGAGCCGGGAAGGAGTGCCTCGGCAGTGACGCTTCTCGGGAGCTGGGTGTGGATAAAATTGCAGCACATGTCAGATTTCAGCAAATCCAGATTAAAGTTGAGAAGATCAGTCTGAGGCTGAACAACAAAACCAGCCCTAATGAGGAGGTTCAGCCCCAGCTAAAGCGCCCTGCCTTGCATCACCACGGGCAAAACCGCACCTTGTTTGTTTAGATGGGAGAACAAACCTCTGGGTTTGGGCCAGAGGTCCCACCAGTGAGCCTAGGAATGTGGGCAGCCCCTCCCTCTGGGGCCCCTTGAAACAGCAGGCAGGGGAGAGGTGGGCACTAGCATCTGTTAAGCTCCTACTGTGTGCCACAAGCTTTCAAAGCCCCAGGGATCATTGCCTGGTGCCTGTGTGCTCAAAGAGTGGGGGTTATTATTTTTATCATATTGACCTTTCCATGTGGCGCTAGTGGTAAAAGAATCTGCCTGCCAATGTGGGACAGCTAAGAGATGCGGGTTCGATCCCTGCGTTGGGAAGATCCCCTGGAGAAGGGAATGGCAACCCACTCCAGTATTCTCGCCTGGAGAATCCCATGGACAGAGGAGCCGGCAGGCTACAGTCTATAGGGTCATAAAGCATCAGACATGACTGAAGTGACTTAGCCCGCATTATTATTAGAGCAGCCCTACTTAACACACAAAAATGATATTCAGAGAGCAGGTGACTAACACAGGGCTCCACACCTGGGTTTGAATCCAGGCCCTTTATCCAGCTCTGAGGCCTGCTTCCTTAAAGGCTCCCCCAGTGCCCCCAGTCTGCCAGGGGCCAGAGCCTGGGGAATCGGCTCCTCTGAGAGAAGCAATCTGCCTAGACCTCTTGGGAAAATGTGGTTTCGGCTTCTCCCGGCGTGGGAAGAAACCAGATATGGAACTGTGACTGGAATTCCCTCTGTGTTGCAGCTGTTCTGAGTGCCTGGCCCCCAGGGGCTGAGGGCCCAGTCTGGTCTGCCTTCAGTTCTGAGTAGAATGCCCAGCTTTACACGTTGGTTGACGGGATTTTCTAAAGTCTGCAGGCGCCAAGCACAAGGCCAGGCACTTCTCCAACATCCTCCTCTCTTGTTGATGATGTTGTTCAGTTGCTAAGTCATGTCTGACTCTTTGCAACCCCGTGGACTACAGCACCCCAGGCTCCCCTGTCCTACACTATCTTCTGGAGTTTGCTCAAATTCATGTCCATTGAGTCAGTGATGCTATCTAACTATCTCGTGTCCTGCAGCCACCTTCTCCTTCTGCCTTCAATCTTTCCCAGCTTCAGGGTCTTTTCCAATGAGTCAGCTCTTTGCATCAGGTGACCAAAGTACTGGAGCTTCAGCTGCAGCATCAGTCCTTCCAAAGAATATTCAGAGTTGATTTCCTTTAGAATTGACTGGTTTGATCTCTTTGCTGTCCAAGGGACTCTCAAGAGTCTTCTCTTAACACCAGAATTGGAAAGCGTCAGTTATTCGGCACTCAGTCTTATTTATGGTCCAACTCTCACATCCATACATGACTGCTGGAAAAACCATAGCTTTGACTAGATGAACCTTTTTTGGCAAAGTGATGTCTCTGCTTTTTAATATGCTGTCAAGGTTTGTCATAGCTTTCCTTCCAAGGAGCAAGTGTCTTTTAATTTAATGGCCGCAGTCACCATCCACAATACTTTTGGAGCCCAAGAAAATAAAATCTGTCGCTGCTTCCACTTTTTCCCCTTCTGTTTGCCATGAAGTGATGGGACCAGATGCCATGATCTTCGTTTTTTGAATGCTGAGTCAGCATTTCCACTCTCCTCTTTCACCCTCACCAAGAGGCTCTTTACTTCCTCTTCACTTTCTGCCATAAAGTGGTGTCATCTGCATATCTGAGGTTATTGATATTTCTCTCAGCAATCTTGATTCCAGCTTCTGATGCATCCAGCCCAGCATTTCGCATGATGTACTCTGCATAGAAGTTAAATAAGCAGGTGACAATATGCAGCCTTGTCATGCTCCTTTCCCAATTTTGAACCAGTCAGTTGTTTCATGTCTGATTGCTTCTAACTATTGCTTCTTGACTCACATATAGGTTTCTCAGGAGACAGGTAAAGTGGTTTGGTATTCCCATTTCTCTAAGAATTTTCCACAGTTTGTTGTGATCCACACAGTCAAAGGCTTTAGTGTAGTCAATGAAAAAGTAGATGTTTTCTGGAATTCCCTTGCTTTCTTTATGATCCAACAAATGTTGCAATTTGATCTCTAGTTTCTCTGTCTTTTCTAAACCTACATCTGGAAGTTCTCAGTTCACCAACTGCTGAGGCCTAGCTTGAAAAAATTTGAGCATGACCTTACTGGCATGTGAAAGAACACAACTGTATAGTAGTTTGAACATTCTCTGGTAACGCCCTTCTTTGGGACTGAAATGAAAACTGACCTTTTCCAGGTCTCCTCTCTATTCCTCTTTTTTAAAAAAAGTTATAAGAACATGAGGAAATACTTCCATCTTAAAGTGTCACTTGAAAAAAAAATGGGGGTGGATTTCCCTGGTGATGCAGTGGATAAGAATCTGCCTGCCAATGCAGGGAACTAAGAGACACAGGTCCAGTCCCTGGCCTGGGGAGATTCCACATGTGATGGAGCAACTAAAGCCCACGTGGCGAAACGACTCAAGCCCACAAATCTAGAGCCTGTGCTCTGCAACCAGGAAGCCGTCGAAATGAGATGCCCAGGCACTGCAGCTCGCTGCAACCAGAGAAAGCCTGAGAGCAGCAATGTAGAGCTAGAGCAACCAAAAATAAATAATAAATAAATAAACTATAAAAAATAAATAAAAGTCAAAGGAATACCAATTAAAGCAGCAATAAGATATTGTTCATGTAACAAAAAATAAAGAATAGCTTACCAAAAAAAAAAAAAAAAGGGTGGGTGACACAATTTAACCCGCACTGTGGGCCCAGCTCCATGAGACAGCATCTAGTGCCCGAGAGAAGGACCAGGAGTAGCTACAGCAGGGTATTCACCTGGTTTTTTCTGGGCTGTGGGAGCATAAATGCCTTTCCCGCTTGCTTCTGCTTTTTAACATTTTATAATCAAGCATTGCTTAAAATTTTCTTTTTTCTGGTAAGGGTAATAAAAATTAAAAAAAATAAATATATGTGTAAATGAAACAGGAAGATAATTTGAGAGATATATTGTTCTATTGTTCAGTTGCTGCATCGTGTCTGACTCTCTGAGACCCTGGACTGGAGCACGCCAGGCTCCTCTGTCCTCTACTATTTCCCAGAGTTTGCTCAAATTTATGTCCATTGTGTCTGTGATGCTACCTAACCATCTCATATACCAGTATTATAAATGCTGCTACCTGGACATCTGTTTTGTTTTTTTTATTTAGGGGTATATTGGGACTATCGTTTCATGTTATTAAAAACCCTCCTGTGGCTGATTCATGTTGATGCATGGCAGAAACCAACACAATCTTGTAAAGCAATTATCCCCCGATTTAAAAAATAAAAGTTCTCCTAGAACATCTTGGTAATGCATGCGTGCTAAGTCACTTCAGTTGTGTCTGACTCTTAGTGACCCTATGGACCATTGCCCACCAGGCTTCTCTGTCCATGGGATTATCCAGGCTAGAACACTGGAGTGGATTTCCATGCCCTCCTGTAAGCGATCTTCCTGACCCAGGGATGGAACCCAGGTCTCTTAGTCTCCTGCGTCGGCAGGCGAGTTCTTTACCACTAGTGCCACCTGGCAAGCCCAAACAGTTGTGTAGTATTCCATTATCCAGTGGAACCATAACTTAAGGGCAAAAATGCTCCCTTGTTGGAGATTTAGGTTGTTTTAAACTGATTACTCATATAAATAGAGTGAGAGCAAACATCCTTATAGCTCACACCTGTGTACAATTGAGATTATTTCCTTAGATAAATTGCCTAACATGAAACTGTTAAGTCGAAAGGTATGTAAAATATTTAAGGTTTTTGATATTTGTGACCAAATTGCCCTTCAGCACAGAGATAATCTATCCACCTGCTTCCATGAAGACTCTTCTTCCCTTCACTATTCCATCACTAATAGTGATTGCCATCACCATTCCCATGTAAGTAAAATCTTGCCAGTAGATCCCTTATTGTTGTTTTCAGTGATCTTGCGATGGAAAAGTTGATTTCATTTAAAACAAATTTAGCTTTAGGATGTTTAGAAAGTTTCAAATTTTTTTGCATGCTCAATGTCACCATTAATGTAGTTTCCCCTACTTTTCTGGGCTTCCAACTATTTTTAGTTCATGTGTATCCAATTGTACGTTGGTGTCACAGTACACACAGTATAGACTGTTAGGCTTTATTCTACTTGTTTTCTCTCCCCTTGATTTTCAAGAACACTGCCATGGGCCTCACAGTGGTTGCATTTACCACCCGCAGGGCTGATATTCCACCAGAGCGGGCTGTTTTCCCATAACTGTGCCCTTGTACTTGGACCTTTAGGCTCGTCACCATTTCTCACACTGTAGCTACTGCTGTGGTGTATATCTTTAGGCTTAGAGCTTTTCCATCATGTTGAATAATTTTCTTAATTTCCAAGTAATGAGAAACCAGGGTCAAAGTGTGCAGCATCTTGGAGGACTTCCCTGGTGGTCCAGTAGTTAAGAATCTGGTCTGTAATGCAGGGGACACAGGTTCGATCCCTGATTGGGGAACTAAGATCCCATGTGCTGCAAGGCAAGTATGCCTGAGCCCGCAACTGCTGAACCTGCACGCCACAACTGAAACGTCCACGTGGCGCCACTGAAGACCCCATGGGGTGCAACTAGGACCCGACACAAATAAGTGTATACACATAGTGTTATATCAAAATATATGTATTTAAAGTGTGCAGCGTCTTGAAGGCCTTTGCCTAGCAGTGCTGCTTTGCACCCCGAAATGCCTGCACCCACTTACAGGGCTGCCAGCTCTTTGGGCTTCCTGGTGGCTCAGTGGTAAAGAAGCTGCCTGCCACTGCAGGGGACGCAGGGGACAGGTTCGATCCCTGGGTCGGGAAGATCCCCTGGAGAAGGGGATGGCAACCCACTCCAGTATTCTTGCCTGCAGAATCCATGGGACAGAGGACCCTGGTAGGCTATAATCCATGGGGCCGCAAAGAGTCGGACACAACTAAGTAACTCATCCACCAGCTCTTTAGGGGTGAGACTGCTCCCTCTTTACCTCAGCCCAGATCATTCTCTTCTTCCTTAGAGCTTTGTGCACAACGTACTTTTGTTCTGACACAGTTTCTTGAGACACAGGGTATGATAGGAAAGAATGGACATTGAAGGCAGGTGGTTCTGGGTCCACATAGTAGGTGCTCAATAAATGTTTGTTAATTACAGAATTAAGAATTATTGGGCTTCCTAGGTGGCTCGGTGGTAAAGAATCTGCCTGCAGTGCTGAAGACATGAGTTCAATCCCTCGGTTGGGAAGAACCCCTGGAGAAGGAAGTGGCAACCCACTTGAGTATTCTTGCCTGGAAAATTCGGTGGACAGAAGAGACTGGCAGGCTATCATGGGGTCCCAAAAGAGTCAGATGTGACTTAGCAACTAAATAACAATAACAACAAACTGCATAATAGTTACTGAACAACTACCATGTGACAGGAGCCTAAAAGGTTCTTTTACTACCATAGCCTCCCGGCTGTTGGAAGATTTATTGTCCTTAGTTTATACAGGAAGATGCTGGGCTTAGGCCCTGGTTAGATGAATGTCTCTTGGCAAGGTACTGAATGCCTCTGAGTCTGTTTCCTCATGTTCAGATTGGATGTGCTAACACCCACCTTGCAGGGCTGCCGTGAGGATTAAATGAGTTAAGTCTATGATGCATGGACACATGTTCTCTAAATGGTAAATGTTATTTCCAGTTATTCCAGGCAGACCCTATTACTTGACCATCCTGGAGCAATACTGCCTTATAGTCATTAAATGTATTCTTAGGCATAAGGCACTGCTTTTTATTTATTTGAGAAGGGTTCTTTATTTTGTCTTAAAATTTCTTTCCTCTCAGGGCATTATGATGTGAATGAATCCCTTGTGAAGCAGTCACCGAAGATACTGATGTCTTGTTTTAAATCAAAAACCGACCGTGGATTAAAGCTGACGTCAATAGGCCCAGGACCCGGTTATTACAACCCAAATGGTCACCCCAAAGTTCAAAAAAAGGCTCTGATCCCGTGAGTCCTGATTATTCTGATCTTTCTTCTGAAAGGTGTTTCTGGGGAAGGACCCCAACATGGGGGGAAAGGGAGGGGTGTCACAGCTTGGCAGACACAGGCTGGGTAGCTCTCGTGGAGCCCTTGTTGACACAGGCTGCTGAGTGCCTCGTATTTATTGAGCAGCTATTGTGTGCCAGGAACTTAACATCGTCAAAGATCATGACAGCTCTATTGTAGGAATGATTGTTTCTGCTTCATAGAGAAGGAAGTCAGGCTTCAGAGAGCCTGAGGGGCTTGCCTAAGTCCACACAGCTAAAAGGAAGGTGCCGGTGGGACTCAGGCTTAGGACTGTTTGGATCGTCCAACATTCCCCACAATGCTGTACTCCCCTGGTGCTGATATTATTCTATTTTTTATAAAATCTCCACTGGGGTGGCAGGATATATGGAAGCAATGATGCTCTCACTGTCTTGTACTGATAGGTTAAAAGCCTAGACTCTAGAGTTGGTCAGACCTGCTGCATTTGAACCTCGACTGTGCTGTTTTTGTGCTGTGTGACCATCAGCCCTGCTCTAACCCCTCTGAGCCTCCATGCCCTCCACTGTAAAGTGGGGATAATTTATCTGAATGTTGCTTTCAGACTGAAAAACAAGTATTGACATAGTAGGTACAAATAGTGACTCAAAACAAATTTTGAACGTGAAGACAGGGATTTTTGTTACTGTTTGTAATCTCCCATACATTTAATGTTACTTTCCCCTCAGAGACTCAAAAATTCACAGGCCTTAATATTCCTCAAAACGGGTCTAGAACCTCTAGAACTAAGACCATCAAGGCCAGTCATCCTGTCATTTCTAGGTCCTCACCCCTGCGTAGCACTCTCCAGGCATCAGTGACTGTAGGGAGGGCTGGCCAGCGGGGCTGGGACTAAGGGTGTGGCACCCGGGACCCTCCTGAGAGGTCAGGCAGCTGGTGGGGCCCACAGCCACAGGGGGTCAGAGAGGGTGGGCAGCCCAGGAACACTGGCACCACTGGGTCTGCTCAGACCATCAGCCCAGGACAAAGGGGTCGGGGGTCAGGGGTCAGGGAGAGGAGCAAGGCGTGAGCCTGCTGTGTCCAACCCAGGACCTGGAGCCGGAACTCAGACCTCAGATGGGGCCCACCAGCTAAGTCCCTGATGCCCAAAGGATCTGGGGTTCTGTATGTTGACACTCTCCACAGGCTGCAGGGCTTGGGACCGGGAAAGGAAAGTCTCCAGAAACAGGCTCTTTCCAAATCAGGGGCTCCCTGCCTCCGGGTTGGCTTGGGCTACGCTGCCCCTCAATGGAGTGGGAGAGAGGGTGGGTTTCAGGGTTAGCAGACCTGAGTGGGAATCACAGCTCCATCTCTGGCCGGAACTCCTCCTCCCTGCGCCTCCATGTTTCCATGTAATTAAGTGCAGATAAGAACCTGTGTTACTAAGTGCAGATGAGAACCAGGGCTCCCCTGGTAGCTCACCTGGTAAAGAATCTGCCTGCAATGCAGGAGACCCCACCCAGTTCGATACCTGGGTTGGGAAGATCCCCAGTGGGATGGGCATGGCAACCCACTCCAATATTCTTGCCTGGAGAATCCCCATGGACAGAGGAGCCTGGAGGGCTGCAGTCCATGGGGTTGCAAAGAGTGGGATAGGCTACCCACTCCAGTATTCTTGGGTTTTCCTCGTGGCTCAGTCAGTAAGGAATCCGCCTGCAATGCGGGAGACCTGGGTTCAATCCCTGGGTTGGGAAGATCCCCTAGAGGAGGGCATGGCAACCCACTCCAATATTCTGGCTTGGAGAATCCCCATGGACAGAGGAGCCCGGCAGGCTACAGTCCATGGGGTCGCAAAGAGTCAGACACAACTAAATGACTGAGCACAAGAACCTGTGAGGATTAGATAAGAAAGGGCTTGAAAATAGTTCACTCTTCTTATTACAGCAGCTATTCTTCTGTATCCTAGAGAAGATTTGTGAGGGTAGAGGAGCCGGCTGTTTTATGGCGTGGCAGCTCAAGCCCCCATCCCAACTCTGGAAGCTTCTTCAGGGAAACAGTGAGAGGAGAGGGGAGAGTACCGCGTGTTCAACTGTCTTCTGAGCTGTGTCATTTGACCTTCATTCGAGTTTGGACGAGCGGTTTGAAACAGTCTCATTTTATGGCATTTGCCTCTGTCGGTCGGCAGGTCCTAGCCATTTCTGGTGCTGAGCTGAAGGCTGTGGGGGGCTCATGTGAACGGAACACCCTCCATTGCTTTAGCCAGGCTTCCCAGGAACAACTCCAGAGCAGGGCAGAGGAGTGTGCCCCAAAGTGCTGGGTGGTGTGCGCCCCGAGTTTGCATGGCCACACACATCCTCAGGGGCCATCTTTCCAACAGGATCAGTGCAGTATTGCCGGCATGTCTGGGGGTGGGTCTGGGGCCCATTGGCTCTCCATGATGCGTCCCGGAGGGATGATCCTTGCTTAATAAACCTAGGAATCAAATGCACACCATCCTTCTGCCCCTGGCAGCATCACAGTACACATGAACTTATTCACGGCTCTGAGAAGGTCTGTTAAGTTGTTCAAGGCCCTGACAGGTCCCGCAGTAAAGGGACACGTCAAGCCCAGTGTCTCTTAAACGTGGGTTCACCCTGGTGAGTGGATGGCACCCCAGTTTCCACGGCAGGCTCTGGGGTCGGGGGCTGCCCTCGGTGCCTCCCTGGGCCTCTGTTTCCCCGTGCGTGATCGTGCGTGAAATGAGGGGAAGTCTTTCCACTTCCAACACTCCGTGACCCCAGTTTTGCGCACTGTGTCTGTCCCTCAGGAGAGCAGTTGGGGGCAGTGAACACGGAGCCAGCCTGGACCCACAGAGGCAGGTCCGGGATATGCTTTTGAGCTGACATGGAAAGGAATGAAATCGAGAAATCTGTAACTTCATTTTTTTAAAGCAAAGAGATAAAACTAAAGCGTGCTGTTAGTTATTCCAAAATAGCATCCATCTGTTGATGGCAGATGAGGGAGAAAGGGATGTAATATAAAGAAAAGATACAGCCGGATATGATTGTATTTCAGGAGCATCCAAACGCCAGTCTCTCACATTTTAGGAATATCCAAACTCCGGCCTCTCGCGTTCAAATTCTGTTTCCTTTCCTGCGACCCTGGGGGGAAGCGGAGGAAGTACCTGGCCGGGCCTGGGGTTGCCAAGCCCCCGAGAAGGTCTGCATTGTTTCCTCCCCATCAACATTCTGAGGCTTTGCTACATCTAGCCTCCTCATGCTCAGGTCTCCGGGACTGTGTGGGGCAGTGGCGGAGAATCTGAGCATCGTCAGCACATTTCTGTTTTGGAAGCCCGGGCGTCACGTGCATGTGACAGGACGTGGGGGGCCTGGCTTTATTTCTCTTGCTGCAACGTGCAGGGTTCCCTATTCTCTGGTGGGGTTCCAGTTTGCAAAAATGGTATTTTTGGCTCTGCTCTCTTCAGGACGCGGAAAGGACAGGGGAGATGGTCATTCTCACAGGAATGGCTGAGCCCAGGTCACCGAGCCCTGCTGGCCTCCTGAGCTGAGAATGGGCTGGAGGGGCTGTGGCATCGTGGGCATAAGCGCAGGCAGGGGCTCAGGCCCCTGAGACTCCTGTCTTCCCTGCTCACCAGCTCCTGGGAGGCAAGGGGCAGGTTTGGGGGTCACTTTACTCCCTGGGAATTCAAATTCATCCTCTGGAAATTGGCGCAAGAACACTTTATAATTTGAAAAGACCCTGATGCTGGGAAAATTGAGGGCGGGAGAAGGGGGACGACAGAGGATGAGATGGATGGTTGGATGGCATCACCGACTCAATGGACATGAGTTTGGGTAAACTCCGGGAGTGGGTGATGGACAGGGAGGCCTGGTGTGCTGTGGTCCATGGGGTCGCGAAGGGTCGGACAGGACTGAGAAACTGAACTGAACTGACACTTTATAGTGGGCTTGTGCAGGCACGCTACGTCACTTCAGTCGTGTCTGACTCTTTGCGACCCTGTGGACTGGAACCCACCAGGCTCCTCTGTCCATCCTCGCAGTTCATCAGTTCTGGCACACTAGCTTTCTATGTGTGTGGTTTGTATTTTTATTGAAATGTGTGAGCGAGTGAGTCCCCTACACTCACCCGACGTTTCTCTAGTGGCCCTGCGGGGCAGATGCTATGCCGGGGCTAGAGGGGTGTTGGTGTGGTCATTTCTGGGCTCCACAGCTGCAGAACACATCACCAAGCATCTCTTTGCTATGGCCACGTTGCTGACTCAAAAGCTAAGAGGATTTTGCAGCTCCCAGGGGTCTTTGGAGGAGGGGCATCAGCTAGGGCTTCATTTCTTCAGGTCTTCAGCATCTGTCACAGTGATGACTCAAGGGCTCAGGGTGAGTCAGGGTGAGGGCTTTTTGGAGATCAAAATAGTTCCTCCTAGGTGCTGCCTTCCAACTCACGCCAGCAAGGAGGTGAAACACCCACTGACATCTTTCTAACCCTTGATCTGCTTCCTGGAGTTTTTAAGCCACTGGTTTTGCTCAGACATGCTGTCCTGTCACAGCCAGAGCCGAAGAATCAAGCCCCGTTGGCCCCGCTCCAATTTGGGTAATTACATTGGACCCACCTAAAGTTCCCCTGGGATTTTCAATTAGATATGGGATGCTTCTTCCCAAGTGGCTGTAATCTGTCACCCGCTACCCTGTTAAACAGATACCACATTCCACCCTAGAGGCAATCGGCTGCCCTTTAATGATGAGAAAAAATTGCCCCTTTATTCCTCCCGACCCTGGGAATCCCTGAGGCAGAGTGAATCTGTGCCTGGGAGTGTCCTGAGGGTCTCCGATGCCCTCCCCCTGTGACCTGCTGAGTCGTCCTGGAGACATTCATTATTCTTGGGGTGATTTGCAAATAGCTCACATTGGAAGCTGCAAACACAGCTTAATCCAGTTGTGGCCAACTCAGAGCCTTTGATAGATGTTTTCTTTCCACCAGGGCAGAACCAGATTGGCTTTTATAACTGGGTGATGAGGCTCATAAAAGCCCTGGTCACAATGCACTGT